CGCGGGGCTCATAACCTGTTGAATGCGCAGCCTAAGAACGAAGCGCAACACTCTGCAGCACACAGAGAATAAGCAAGTGAGATAGCAAAAGGAACTAAGTACATACCTGCAGCACACAGAGAATAAGCAAGTGGGGGAAAAGAGAGAAGGGAGCTTGCTCTGTGTGTGCAGGCGCGTCGCAGGCACGTGAGGCGTGTGAAACTGTACAGTAGCACGTGAGGAACCGGAAATAACCGAGCCAGAGCCAGGGGAAGCGGACCGGAAAGAGCCGAGATGGGAACAGTGATCTAATCAGTCCCAAGGAAGCAGGAGGGAGTCAGGAGCCATAGAGTAAGCGCATAAATCCGGAAAAAATGGTGTAGGGGGTTTTGGAGGACGGCGAGTACGATGGTGTATAGTACGAGTCCGTCCGACAAGCAGGAGCCAGCAAATCACGAACACAAAACAAAAGAAATTCAAATAGAGAGCCAGAATTCAACACCGCGAACACTCTAGGGTTACGGCCCGAGCGCGATCCGTGCGCGATAAGGCGCTCGAGGAGCACAAGGCGGGCCTGGGCTCAGCCCCTTCCTTATCGGGATAAAGGCAGCGCGCAGGGGCGCATAAGGGTGGGTACCCTCGTGTCTGCCGTTGCCCGCGCTGCTCCCCGCCGTCCCCACGACGAGCACGGTCGTTTCCCTCTATCTCCCGCTTCGAGATCGCAAAAAATAGTACTATTTGATTCTGCAGCTACTATAGCAAGGGGAGAGTTGAGTACAGTACGGCGCTCGACTTGTGAGCTGGCGAGCTGTGGCCTGATGTCAGCAAGCTGACTTCAGGTACACGAAGCTGCGGGCCGCTCTGGACCCTTTCCATAGGAAAGGTCGTTCGGGCATTGCAGGCGCCGAAGCCCGACTGTTCCCGATAAGGCTGGCGTCCCGTATTTACTGGCCTGCCTGGCCGTGTATCAAGTACCTTGCATGGTTGAGCATTGAATATGTAGACTATGCATTGTACTGATACACCTTACGGGAAAGAGGGCTCAGTAGGGAGTGCTATGTACTGCATTACACTATGGCGCTAAGGTTTGCTGGGCGTAATCACGATCACATGAGTTGTTCATATTGAGCACTCAAGTCGGCTTCAATGTCTGATATGCATTTACTACTGTTACTGCTCGATGGCTACCACATATGCGAGCAGATGTCCTAAGCAAGATACACCCACTTGCAGTCGCCCTACTCGTCCTCGTCCTCCTCTTCCTCACCCTCGTCCTCCTCCTCCTCCTCCTCCTCCTCACGACGCGCGCGCTTCTTAGACTGCCCGGCAGTGGACTTGATGGCTTTGATATGAGCCATGTTGAATGCGAGCCTACGAGCCTGCAGCTCGGCGGGGGTCAGAATTACCCACTTGCACGTCTTCTCACAAAGGGTGACGTTCAGGAGATACTGCTGGGTTGGATCGAGGCCATCAATATCGCAAACGGGAAACTTGAACGGCCAGCCAACAAGTGCAACTCCTTTCTTGAGAACGATCCTCTCTTCGTAGTTCGTGAGGAAGAGACGTGGCTTTGACTTAGACGCAGTGGTGGGGTCTTTCTGAGCGCAGATTTGCTCTGTATGGCCTGTCAACCTTGCAGATAGTATGATATGTGCGATAGTCATGCACCGTACCCAGTCCACATCATCCCGCGGCTGTCGCCGCGAAAAGCTTGGCCCTTGACTTGAGTAAACTTGCCTGAAAAGACGTTAGCATGTTACAGGGTGCGTGCGTCTCTGTGAGACTCACTGACGTCTATAGCATCACTCAAGCCGGAGGCGTATACGCCTTCAATCATTTTGGCCATGCTCTCCGGCATCTTCTGGTGGAAGGTGAGGTTGGCGATGATGTTGCCGAGCCCATCAGAGGCGCAGAAGAACGGGCAAAACTTGAGCTTGGTGTCACCTGATACGATAAAGGCGAGGTAGCGAACGTTGGCAGCGTCATAGAGCTCGTCGAGCTAGATAAAATGAGCGCGAGTAATAGATGGTACAAAAGCAGTATACGCACAATGGCTCTGACGTGTTTCGCATGCGCGCCGATGGTCTTCGTGAGGCCCGGACGTGTTAGCTGAGAAGAGACTTGTACTTTCTTCGCCCCTGCCCGAGCGTCATTGAAATCCTTGAGCAATGCCGCCTTCTCTTCGGCACTGAGCTTCGCATACTTTTCCGACAGCGTCCCCTTGTTGTCCTTGAGAAAAGTAGGTAGCGTCGGTGGCTTCTCCCCAGATGTGATTGCCGCTGCGGCCCGTCAGGTCAGAAATTGTAGAGTAGCACATTAAACGCACCCTCGACGGCAATCTTGTGTTCCTTCTGGGCGAACGCATTCCAGGAAGAGGGGGCGTGGGTCTTGGTCGAGGCAGTGAAGCCTTTCCAAAAGTTCGCCCGGACAGAGTTGACGGTCCTAAGGGGACGTTAGATTGAATAGAACGAAGCCTTTGAAGACGTATAACTTACCACCCAGTTTTTGTCGCTATCAGCTTGCAAACGGCTTCGAGAAGGTCAGCCGCACGCTGCAACACGGAGCTAACAGCTGCCGGGCTCGGTTTGTTGGCAAGCTGAATGCCCCAAGGCGTCTTCGACTTGGGCCCAGAGTCGCCCTTGAGGCCGAGGAGGATTTGGAGCATGAGGAGCATTGCAGGCTCGTTAAAGTCTATGTCCTCGATGTTCAGAGGGTCAGGGAGAGACAGGTCGATCCAGTCGGGAGGGGTGTACTTGCTGATGTCAATGGGGGAGTCGTCTTCGTCGCTCATTGTGGTTCCTGGGGGGGTGAGGGGAGGCGGGCGTAGGTTAGTAGTCGTTGCCAGAATAAAATATGCAAGCTGCGTACCATTCTGACAGAGCAACTGATCACCAGCATGCGCAGGCCCCTAGAATGTGACGGATACAGGAACGGCTCCTACCTCATCACGTCGGATCTGGAAATCTGAGACATACATTAGGGTTCTGTTGGCTGGTGCTGAGCCCCACTGCGCTCTGTAGGATTATGAACAGATACGTATACATTAATTAACAATGCTCCAAGTCGTACAGCTTTTTTCGGTCAACGAGAACACTACTCCATGTCAAGAAACGGCCCAGTTGTGCCTCCCAACCCTCACCCATCTCGGCGTCAATCCGATCGCGCTCTGCGTTTGGGATCGGCCCGACGAGACGGAAGCCGTACGCGATGTACCGAATCAGCCCACCCGAGCAGTACTGGGTGAAGCTGTATTGTTTGTCGCCTGGTGCGAGCTGTGTGTTGCCGTGCCGCAAACCTGCCGAAGACAGGGCAACCGTGCAGCCTGATGGGAACTTGAAGTATAGCCGAAAGTCGAACAATATAAAATGCCCGCCGAGCGTGGCATTATATTGGCCGAACGGCGATATCGTACATGGCATGCCCGGGTAGTTCGAGCCGTCGGTATGGCCGAAACAGACTGAGTGCAGCCCCAGATTGAAGGTACAAGCTGGATAGAGGCTTATGCCCCCAAAGGGGAACTGAAGGCCGGAGTCCTCTTTGCACATCGCGGCAAGGCGGCTGCGAATGTGCTCGAAGGTGAGGGGGAAGTAGTGGGCGACGATCTCTGTCATGTCTAATCAGCCAGGTTTTGCAAAGGGCAATGAAAATAGGCTTACCGCTCGCAAACCCTGCGAGTCGGCGAAGCTGGCCGTGCGCAAGCAGAGACTCGGCGCTGGCACAAAGACCCGCCGTCATCGAGTCCATCAGGTTTGTCGGCTTCTGTTATGTGCGTGAGTTCTTTGGAGAGAGGCTGCAAGTATTGGCACGCACACGGGCGCCAGGTCCTATGGTGAAACCCGCCGCAAACGCGTCAAAGTCTCCGCGTGTTGAATGCGCAGCCTAAGAACGAAGCGCAACACTCTGCAGCACACAGAGAA